ATTGACTGTACTAGCAAAGATATAATTTGTCACAAACTCCTTCAGCTTATTATTGATTACACGGGCAAAGATATAGTTTGTCACAAACTCCTTCAACTTATTATTGACTGTACCAGCAAAGATATAGTTTGTCACAAACTCCTTCAGCTTATTATTAACTGTACCAGCAAAGATATAGTTTGGTCACAAACTTATTCAGCTTATTATTGACTGTACCAGCAAAGATATAGTTTGTCACAAACTCCTTCAGCTTATTATTAACTGTACCAGCAAAGATATAGTTTGTCACAAACTGATTCAGCTTATTATTGACTGTACCAGTAAAGATATAGTTTGTCATTCAAAAATGTATGAAGATATAGAAAGCGCAGCTAGGAATATGTGCTATGAGATGCACCAACACAGTACTGAAAGGATGTAATTATAACCATGAGTACAGTACAAGCGAGTCATACATTTTTTTTAAGCATTAACAGTTTTAAATGTTTTAAAATAAATTCTATAATCCTAAAAGATAGATATACTTGATGACCTTTTAAACTGAGAACCCCTTTAATAAAAGACTGCTCCTTTTATTTTATGTTTAATCAAAAATTTGGATGTGTTATGGATACTTATATGTAAATATGCTAATCCCACATATCTGCTGACATACACCCAATAGATGTTCCCCGATTTGCTACGTATCAGGTACGGATGGTACGTAACTCAACCGTTAGTGTTGTTTTGGAGGTATCATTTAATGCAGGAGATTATTTTATTCACCATGATAGAATTAAAGAAATAGAATAGCATATAAGCAAAAACTAGCTTACAACGATTTCAACGTTTTTGTTATTCTATATGATATCATTTTGTGAGTGCACAAGTGCATGAATCAAACAGACCTTACAGGAACTGAGAGCTGACTAAAGTTGTCGTCAATTTATTTCCCAGGGAAACAGTTTGTTCATATTTTGGGCTGTTACACCACTGTCCCAGGTTAGGGGAGGGCTGGGCGCCCGCAAACATGTTTAACCCCGCCACATTCTGTATGTGTATGTCCCAAGTCAGGAGCCTGTCATTCAGTAGTCATCGTTTGTTACTGTATATCTTTTTTTTGTTTTTCGTCCATTGTTTTGTATACATAAAACAAGCCGTTCATTTTCTCGTTTGAATTGTTTCACATTTGCCATTTCGGGGCCTTTTATGGCTGACTATGTGGTATTGGTTTTGCTCATTGTTGAAGGCCGTACGGTGAACTATAGTTATTAATTTCTATGTCATTTTGTCTGGTGGAGTGTTTTCTAATTGGTAATCATACCACATCTTCTTATTTTTGTATATATACAAACATACACGACCAACCGGAATAGGGGCGTTAAATCCGATGCAACGTGCATATACCACGCTCTCTGCACGTATAAGATCCATAGCCTAGCATATTTGTCAATGAACATTTAAGAAAAAAATAATTGTACAATCAAATGTGTATAAAATTCTACTTTTTTGCATCTGTAAATGCTGAAAACTGACATACAACGACGGTTTCACCTGGAACTATCAACTCCCTAGACTCTATAAGAATAAGGGCGAAGTCACGCCACTGGTTTACAAGGTAAAGATTGAAGTAATAAATTTGTTGTAAAGTTAAGTTCTCATCCGATTCAAGATTATGAATCAGACCCAAGTGAGTATGTGGTATCCTTTATTTCAGGGTTAACTGGAAAATATGCGGGGTTGCACGATTAGTCAGCAAGTGTCTATTCAGCGGATTATGGAGTAAAAGGAAAATACAAGTGTCCTTTCCTTCTCCTTGAGAAGCCCTGTGTGGATTCAGCCTCATACGAAATTAACTTCTAGCTTTCTATTTCCTCAATGCTCTATACTAATTATTTCTGCTTTGTTTTTCCTCAAAGTTTTCACCTAAATTTTTGAACCATCTATTATAATAAGAAATTAAAACAACACGTTATAAGTTCATGCGTCCGAGGCGCTTCTCTGGATTTACCTTTACCAGGAAATATTTGAAAGCCAAGGATGTAAAAGATTCGAAACAGTTGAAGAGCTATATGACGAAAAAGGGCCGAAAAATAGCCAAATCCATTGAAGGTCAACTTTACCTTTACAAATCATAAAAGCGGAGAGATAATCTTAAAAAATTCAGCACGTACTATTGATTTGACATTCAGATAGTTGATCTAAAGATAATTTGTATTAAAGTTTATTGGGTAAATGAGAGATATATAATACCATCATATATCTCTTTGATCATCAAAGCTAGAATGCATTGCAACAAGAGTTACTATCTGTCCAATTTTTACTTTTCTAAAATTAAGGAAATCGTGATTTTCAGTCGCTTAAAACATGTTTTCCCATACTTACGAGAGTATTTAGACAAACATGATGGTCATTCGACATACGTTAATACAAAAAAGTCCCAACGCCATCAATTGTCGGATGCGTTCGTACAATTTTTACGAAATCTATGAACTCTCTTTATGTATAGATAACTTGATTCATAAAATCTGAAATTCAATAATCAGCTGACGAGGAAAAATATACTATGACAAATAAAAAGTTTAAAAGACGTTTGATTAAATTACTTCAATGAAACGATTATCTTCTTGTAAAAAGGATCAATGACACACTCAAGTCGTGATTTAAACACATACATATACATTGGTATTTATATATTGTATGACTTCTTTCCCTTTTAGTACAAAAAAAAACACAAAAAAAACAAAAAAAACAACAATATAGTATTATTACAAAACAACAATTACTGGTTTGCTCAATTTCTTGGAGTGATACCCGTAATTGACCAAAACAATATTTTCTCTTAAAACATGAATGGACAGGAGGTGATCCAATCAAGTCATTACTCAGACTTGTTCAAAATAAACAATAAATGGATGGGTTGGAAATAAAATTGAGAATGGATATGGGGAATGTGTCAAAGAGACAACCCGACCAAAGAGCAGAAAACCGCCCAAGGCCACCAATGGGTCTTCAACACAGCGAGAAAATCCCGCATCCGGAGGCGGGCTTCAGGTGGAAAGCATACATTCCTCTCATTTTTATATCTATCTCTTTCCCAGTTGAACCAACATTCTCATTTTTAAAGGTGGACTTACTTTTCAAGGATTCGTAACAATTAACGGTTTAATGAATTGCAGTTACATATAATTTTGATTTCATAGATTTACTTAACTTTCATTTATTTTTTTTCGGGGAAAAAAAAGGGGGGGGGGGCATTTTCGGCAGAACTATTAAATTTTTTTTTGCTTCTGTACTGCCTTCAAAATGAGACAATTCAATTCGTTATAATGTTTATCCCCACAGAGAAATGTTAAAGTTCTCAAAGGCAGTATAAAATTTCAACCGATATAAGTTCAAGGAGTATGTCCAATTTCCCCTCTCACAGGGTCATAATCTAAAAGTTTTCAAAACCTACCGGAAATTGAATATTAGAGAGTATATATCACAAACTGAAATTAGGGCTTTTTCACAATTTTACATATTTCCATAGAATCACAAAGTTATTTAGCGCTACAAGTTGTTGTTTAAGGCATCTTCAAAATTTACAAAATTACAAATTTTAAATGCTTTTGTCAAATTGGAGGACATCTCTAATCAAAATGAATTAATTTGCATCCGAAAGACAATATATAGCTATTCTCCAAAAATAATTTGGGTTTTGTTAGCGATTTCCTTTTGTACATTTTTGGTAAAAGTGCTAAAAATTTGCCAAACTCTCTCAAAATTGATGTTTTGGAATTCGTCAGGCGATTATAATTTGATTACTTGTTTAGAAGTTGCTTAGAATATTGTTAAAAATTTTATGTACACATATATCTGACAGTTGATGCTATGAAGTTAAGTAAAGATAAAAAAACTTTCTGAAAATACTGATGTGGAATCAATTCAGTGAAAAATGGCTCTACCCCTTTTCTGATATAAACCCTGTTAACAGTTATTTTTTTGGTTTTGTTTCTTTGTGCATTAAAGGATATTTTATATTGTGTTTAATGTTTTTCTACAAACCTATAAGCTTCATATTTTATTTGGACCCTGATAAAAAGTATCATTGAATGTGTAAAATACAATTAATTTGTTTACCTGTGAATGGAGACTATCTTATAATGTCAAACAATTACATAAGTCATAAATAAATGTCAAAATATAAATGAAAACAAAATAAAATAGATATTAGTAAATACATTTCTAGATTCAAATCAATGGTCAAGCAGAAATAAGACAGATAAACACTCATGTGAAAATGAATATTTCAAGATATTATGGCCATAAAACGAGAACGTCATTTGTATGTTTATGTATAAATATATCGGTTTTTATGAGCGTGATATGTCATAAATATTTGGCATAATTCTAACAGAAATTTGTATCAACTAGTTAAACAATGGAATGTGCATGATATAGGTGACCGCTTGGTTTTACAACCCTTTCCTTCGTCCAATTAAATTATTACGGTGACATTACAATGAAACTGAGAATAAAAGTTTAGTGTATTCATAAGAAATTGTCAGTCGACAGTGCATGACCGATGTGAAAAGAGGGATATATATTTGTAGTATTTGTTTCAATCGAAGTACAGCGTTATAATAATTCAGTGATTAGCATAGCCATCAATTTTCCATCGAACTCATTTACAATTAATATGCATTTGTATACGTGATTGGAATTTTGTTAAGATTTTATAATAATGTCTGGAAAGAAATACAAAGTGGCAAGGGCATATTCTCTGCGCGTGCTGAAGGATGATAGTCCGCCTGGAACTTACCGCAAAATTTCAGACGATATTACGACCGTCCGAAATCCTCGCGTCAATAGACCACTAAGTTTTGCTTACGGAGAAAAGGATATCAGCGTACTAAGAAGATATAATGGTGAAAGAGAAGACATATCCGTTGATCGAAATAGGAACGCTTTGACGTGGTCAGGGGAATCGCCATTCAGAGCCGAGTCTAGCAACAGTTTGAGTGAGTTACCTCCTCAGATTTTAAAATCCAATGGAATAAACGACGATTCAGAACTATTACCGTATGATCTAGATAAAAAGGGAGCCGATGACTTACAACATGATTCTGATTTAAATCTACAACCGACGAAAAGGAGACGCAACAGTAGCGGAAGTTCAAGCAGCAGTGCAAATGAAAAGAGAGGAAAACTGGAGAGGAAAAGTTCCAGAAGCAGTGCCAACGAGAGGGGGAAACTGGAGAGAAAAAGTTCCAGTTCATCTTCTGGGTCAGTAACTAAAGACAACAAGTTAAATTCAAAGCGACAAAATGGTACAGAAAGTAAAGATGTTCCTCTCGGCACGTCTAATATAGTCACTGAAAAGAAAACGCGGAGTGATTCCTCAAGTTCTGATGAAAACGCAGAACACGAAAGTCTGAAAAGGAAGTCTAGCTCAAGTAGCGAGGAAAAAAGCGAAACAGAAGGAACTCTGTGTGTTAATTCTGTGGAAAAGCGACTAACGGTATATGAAGAGCCGTGGGATAGCAATACACGTCCAGAAGAAATTGAAAACTCTGAATTGAAATACTCAGACCACAACACCTCACTTTCCAGTATTGAAAATCAAATAATTGGAGATCATTTACCGTTAATATCCAAACAGCTTAACACTGATAAGGAAAAGAAAAAAGGCTTAACAACAAATCGCAACAGAACAGAGTCCAGTTCAAGCAGCGACAGTAGAAGCAGTAAATCGTCCGGTGTAAAACACGTAACATCCAGTCAGTCAAGCGAAGCACCACCACTTCCTACAAGTGAGCAACCAGAAATCATGGTAGACTCAGCAGCCGAACAAATGGAAGTGAAACTTATTTCAAGTGACCTCAAGTCTGAATTACCACCACAAAATGTGAATTATTTAGGAACTGCTGATTCTGAGCCTGAGGTTGGTTGTAAACGACTTTCTGTTACGTATTATGGCCCCGTTTACATGCATGATAATGTACTCATTATGCCTACATCATCAACTCAGTTTTCTGGTGGGGACAGTTCGTATCAAAGTGGTATGATTTTTCAAGGTCAAATTGAACTTGAACATGTACCACAGGATCAGTTTGACATCGATTCAACTGAAAGTGCAAAAGAGGAAGATGAGAGCACAAATAAGTCACTAGAAATATCCAATATAAAGATCAGTTTATCTACTGACAACAGCGATATTAATGAATTGGAAGACGATGTTGTTCCAGTTATCACAGCAGAATTTGTAAATCAAAACGAGGCATCTGTTCCACCAGCCGAACATGAAAATACAAAATCAAAAACTAATTCCAGTTCATCAAGTTCGTCAAGTTCATCAGAATCAGAAAATGAAACAAAACATTCAGAAAAGAGACGCATAGAAACACCAGTTGTTTTTAAGGAAACTATTAAGTCAAAGGTTGGTTCAAATTTGTCCAATTCATCAGAGTCTGATACTGAAAAGGAAAAAACTAAAGAGACCAAAATCAGCACACCAGTTTCTTTGGTTACAACAAATGAAAATGTACTAACTAAAACAAAGATAGATTTAAGTTCGTCCAGTTCATCTGAGTCTGACAGTGATAAGACGAACATAATACACTCAGGAAAGAAACCGGTCGGTTCGCCATCGCTCGTACCAATATCCACAGAAGATAATCCGTCTAATTCGAAGACTAATTCAAGCTCAACAGAGTCTGAAAGTGAAAAGGAGGAAACAATCTGTGTTCCAAAGACGCAAATTAAATCGCCAGTATCTGTATATATGCCAACAAATAATGACCAAACAAAGTCTAAAAATGATTCAAGCTCATCGGAATCTGATAGTGAAAATGAAAGACAATATTTAGAAAAGAAAGAAACAGAAAAATCGCTTCCTACTGCAAAAGTTAAATCCAAAGTCGATTCAAGTTCATCAAGTTCAACAGAGTCTGATGACGAAAAGCAGACATTGGTTTTATCAGAAATTACAGAGAAGCAGGAAATACTCAGATCGGATGTCAAAGAGAAAGGAGACGAACCGGGGAAAGTGTGTTCATTGCCAATTAATACAGTTCAAGGTGAAGCTTCTTTTAAGGAAGTTAAATCTGAGAGTGGCAGTGGATCATCATCTTCGTCAGATTCAGATTCAGAATCTAATGATCACAAAGAAAAAAACGAAAACAATTTAGTAAAACCGAAAACAGTATCATCAAACTCTGAAGACGAAATAAAACAAGATATTAAACACCACAATGGTTTATCAGAAATCGACATTTCTAACCTAGATAATGGTTTGCAGAATACAGATGTTACTAAAACATTACCGACTACCGAGCCAGTGTCTGTTGAACCTTCAAACGACACCAAAATTAAATCAAGTGATTCGAGTTCATCAAGCTCGTCAGATTCAGAAACGGACGACAAACAAAACCAGAATATAGATATATCGAAAAAAAGACCAATGTCCTCTGAAGATGAAGGGAAAATAATAATAAACAAACCCAGTATCGGGAGAGAAATAGAGGATGCTGTTATGCCAGTTATTCGACCAAAAGAAGTAGTAAACAGTGCGCAACCAGTTATACCAGAATACGAACAAACATTAGAGTACGAAATACCTTCTGTAGATGTGAACAAACCAGATAATGAACTACCTAATGAAACAAATTTGTCATCAATTGACACATCACATTCACTTGAAACTGTGGAGAACCCTATAATTATTAAATCGGAATTATCATTACCGCCACAACCGGATATAGATATAGCAGATGCATTACCAGCTTCACCCGAAGCTGAAATTATCCTACCAGAAATAAACATAACCACTGAATCTTCTGTCAAATCCGAATATGAATCGTACGGAAAGATAGATAACGACAAGACATCTGGACAGGAATTAGATTCTGAAGACTTCAAGGATGATTTATCTAAAAAAGACGATAAACCCTCTGTTCGTCTGCAGAAACAGAAGAGCAAGACATCAAAATCGTCGTCTTCAAGCGAATCTAGTTCTTCGAGTTCTTCCGATTCCGAATCTTCGCATGGTTTCGACGTTTCTTCGAGAAAAGAAAGGGAGAATGCAAAAAGTGATATGAACAGGGAGAAAAATGCAGAGGATATTAATTCACACAAAGATGACGTCATTGAACTTTTGGAGAAAACAAATTCTGTTGAAATGGAAGAAAGCGCAATTATAGATATACCGTCCAGGAAGATAAATTTAGTCGATGCTGTGGTAACACCAGAGTTTGATATTTCACAAAAAATGAAAGAAATTGATTCTAAAATGATCGATTTAGATTTACCAGACATAAATAAACCGATATATGGTGCTGAATCAGAAGTTATCGCAAATATCAAAACCTGCGAACCGGACGTTGACATGAGTTCACCTGCTACATCATCAGATATTACATTTGATTGCAAACCAGAAATCGACTCCAATTTAAAAACTCAAAGTCTCGACTATCCTAAAATTGATCCAAGCAAAAAACTGATGAACGAATTTGACAGGCAAAATGCTTTTGAAGTAGATATACCATCAGACAAAGTCAGTAAAACTTTCGATGATGCAGTATCGATGGAACTACCCCAAAACTATATGCAATATATTCCAGATAATTCAGAATTCGAAGTTCCAAAAGGAAATGTACCAGCAATCAGCATGGAACAACCAATAGAAGGCACATCTTCAAAATCCACTAAAAAGGCACACAAAACAAAAGATTCAGGAAAAAGAAAACCAGACTTTGGATTAAAAATTCCAGAAAAGATAACATCATTGGTACATAAACTGTCGTTTAAAGGTGGTGATAAAAACCGACTAAAATCGACGGAAAATTTAACTGCATCGGAGCCTATTCTTTATAAGACAGTAACAATATCTGGTACCGAAATGAGCCCGAAAACCAAAGATAAGAAAGATGACAGAACTGGTAAGTACAGATTTCTTTCGTGTTTAAATTACCATATTTTTAATCAATTTTAAGTGTGAACTTTTTGATTTTTTAGTTCAAAGAAAAGTATAGAACGAACGTAAACATATTTGTGATGACATACCTATTAGACCTGCCCTATTTTATTGTTATTCTATACTTTTTATGACATAAAAAATGTTTTTTACTACTATCATAGTATATTTATTATGTTCTCTGTCATTTGTAAACAAAACCCGGTCAAATACCGTGGATGCATTGTTTCACATACCAGTGTCCACTTACAATAAGAAAGGAAAACTATCACTGAAGTTTTGTTAAAGGGCAATTTCTTACGATTTATTTCAATCGGAAATAAATATGTAACAAAAAAAAAACAACAAAAAAATACCCATATCCTTTAATTTTTTTTATACCAATCCGGATATAAAAATAAATAGATATAGTGTATCCCCGTAAAATCATTAATTATTATTTTTTACAACAAAAGAGCAAAAGTTTGAATCGAATTTAAAAACAAACCGCCGGTTATCTGTAAAACAGAATTCAACAGAGTTTTAACTTTGTACACAAAACCACAAATTTATCATAATACACTGATTTATTATTGATAATTATATTTTTTTACATTGTGTACATATGAAAAATACCTGTGAGTTACTTTTAATGTAATACAAGTGTGAATGGTGCTACTGAACTTAGATGTCAACGTAACGACAATCATTTGACATTAATTATGATGTTGTTCATATTGTTATGAATAATTGCCTCAAAATTGAATCCTAATTGGGGCCAAATGAGGAGAAAATGTACTAAATCTGAATGATAACAAAAAAATAAAAATGGCGGTAGTGATTTTAACCACAATAGGATGGCGGGAAGATGGTGCTGCTTTTACTATAAGTGTCACACATATACATAAGATTTTATATCCGCACGTTAATCATTTATGTTCGATGAGAGAAACTTTGCTGATGTGTATTTGTTCCATTTCATTCCTTTAACTATAGACGTAAAACGTGTATTATTCCATGGTGAACATCGTATTTGTTCCATTACAACCCACTAACTATAGAAGTAAAACGTGTATTATTCCATGGTGAACATCGTATTTGTTCCATTACATTCCTCTAACTATAGAAGTAAAACGTGTATTTTTCCGTGGTTAACATCGTATTTGTTCCATTACACTCCTCTAACTATAGAAGTAAAACGTGTATTATTCATGGTGAAGATCGCATTTGTTCCATTACATTCCTCTAACTTTAGAAGTAAAACGTGTATTATTCCATGGTTAACAGCGTATTTGTTCCATTACACTCCTCTAACTATAGAGGTAAAACGTGTATTATTCCATGGTTAACATCGTATTTGTTCCATTACATTCCTCTAACTATAGAAGTTAACATGGTACATCACAGAATTTGTGAAAAAATGTCCAAGCTACAAAATAAGGGTATATTTGAAAACAGCAATATCAAGAGCACTTATTTTACTTACATTTTTGCTTGAAGCTGCAGGAACGCTACATAAAAAAAGTTACTACCAAAGGGATGACTTTTTCGTTTACATTTATTAATTTTCTTTCTTTACGGTTATACGGTTATGCCTTTGGGCCGATTTATAAGTATTTGATACACATTCAATGAGGGCGTTAGCCCGAATGTGTGTATCTAAATTCACACCAAGATATTATTGTCAATGTAGAATGATAGTTTTCAATAATTTAGGGGGGGGGGGGGTCTTTCAGCGATTTGACCATATGTTATTGAAAATCATGATAAATGCCGGGTATCCAATTTAACGACATATTGGTATACCCAACTCGTCCGCTATGTCCGTGTCTGTAGTAACGTTATACCGTGTCTGTAGTAACGTTATAGAATTTTTAAAATGAACATAATTTATGTATCACTGCTAAATTATTCAGTCAGGGATTTCGTTACCACAGAGTACTAAAAACCTTTACTAAATTCTTTCATAGATATAAATATTTGGTTTGGAAGAATGGCTGTACCTGCAGAATTTGTTTTACTAACGGGATTTAAACACTCCAATTTTACGCAGTTTTGTTTAGTAAGTCCGTAAATTTAAATGAACTTATTCTAAAAGATTATCAATTTAACACTGTAATAAGATTTTGAATATTGTTTTATCGGTACTCTTTAACATTGATGCTGTTATTAATGAATAAAACCATAACGAAAAAACATTCCTATACAATTATTATCACTCACAGTCATACACCCTGTCGATACTTGTATTTTGGCATTGCAAGGTCATGTTTTACTTAGATTTGTACTAATCCATTGGAGGTGTACTGATTGCTATTTTAGTCTGGGAATATTATTTATTTATTTTTGTTATTAGCTTTGAACTATATCTTTCAATAACTGCGAGTACTCTTAGATTGGTACTTTGTGTCTTTAGGCTTTTTATTAGTTATATTTTGTGCTTTTCAACCTAGTGGAGAAGGAATTGCCTTTCCCTCTTCATCATCATTTTCTAGTGGGGGCTGTTATTTGTTGGTTAATTTTTGTCTTTTTTTTTTCGCTGTCTTTATTCAACTTATGGTAAGAAATTAAGTAGAATTTTAAACCAAAGCCGAGTTGGGTCGTTTAACAAAGTACATTTTTATCGTGTTGTGCATATGTCATTTCAGTTCTAAACGAGTAAGCACAGATTATAAAGATATTTACAATCTTCTGTATTGCTATAGAATAATAGTGTCTTATACAAATACTTTTACATAACACATAAACACAGACATTATGTAAGGTTAATATTCAAACGGAACTAAATCTTAATTCCATGACCAAATAGTTTCTATGCTCAAATATTTTGTGCCCAGTAACCTTCCTAAATGTTTTTCCGTCGCCTAAAGAAAGAAATTTTTCAGTTAATGTACAATTATAAAGATATTTTAGAAAAAAAGTGTTTATATTATTTTTAGTAGACAGTTTGATGATTTGTTTTTAACAAATTGCTGGACTTCATAAATGACAACTCCCAATGATACAAAACCCGTGGAAATGTTATTTTTCTGAATACACTTGCTTAAGCGACAGTCATCGGGAATGGGTCTTTTTGTAGTTGTTAATTCTTAAATATTTCAATATTCCTTTGTTTTCCTAATTTCTATTTTCAGTGAATGGCATTTCGCATAGGTACCACTGCTCTTTTCTTCCCAGCTTGATTTGCAATTGCGAGCCTTTAATTAGATATGTATAATTACCATTCTATACGTAGAAAGATTGTTGTTTTTGAATGGAATGTAGATGATATTATTGAATGAAGATAAGGTGTAACCATTATGGTATTGCTTTAGAGGTTTAAGTTCAGGGTATTGTTTACATTTGACATGGAGAAGAAACATTATAAAGAAATTACAGTTTTAAAGCCACTTTGATAAAGATAGTAATAAAATAGTAAACAAACTTTACAGCTATCTGTAAATACTTGAGAGATATATACATATTGTCCTATCTATCAAATGTAAACAAACAATTATACCTCCATGTTTATACCACACTTCAGTTTCCGTCACTGGCGACATTTCTGGCAGTTTTGTGTGACCAAACTTCATAAACTCAAATGCGTGTTTAGACGTATCTGTTGCAAATTTGTCAACTTCTCCTTTAAATATGGTTATTGTATACTAAATCATTACAGATATTTATTTTTTTTGCAATGTACACTATATTATTCTGTTCAATCAATTTCAAAACCTACCGACAATACACATTGTCCCATCCTTTATTATGCTGTTAACACATATTGAAATATAAGCATCTATGAATGATAAGATAGGTGAATAATAAAACTAAGATATACCAAGCCTTTGGTTTTCTCTTTTGTATTGCTTCTTATTTTGTCAGATTGTCGAGGCCTTTTATAGCTTACAATACGGTATGGATTTTGCTCATTGTTACAGGCCATACGGTGACCTGTAGCTGTCCTTTGGTCTTCTGTGGATAGTTGTCTCATTGTCAGTCATGTCTCATTTGAGACTCCTTATCTTTAAACTATGTACATTCGAAGTTTATTAAAGCATGAGTGAGATATTAAACGGCCTCTTGCAAGTTTAGAAATTCAAACGCTATTGTATCCCCGTATTTCTGATTCCCTTAAATCAATTGGTAATTGATGTAAATACGGATTCATTTATTCATAGTCTTGCCTGTTTATACTAATTATATTGTTAATCAAACTTTCAACAAAGTGTAAATCGTTCACGTTCAGTACAAACACCTCACACACGGTAAGTACTTTTGGTTTTAGATTATAGCAAGGATTTGTATAGTGAGAACGGTCCTTGATAATAGTAAGGGCAGATCATTTTGAATTTTTTTTTAGTCAATCTTATTCATCATAAACTAAATCTGGGTTCTTTTTATTTTTTTTAAGTTATCCACACTAATGTAGCGATCATTGAGATCTAAATCCATTTTTGTTTTGTTTTGAAGCTGTTGTTAGGTTGCTGTCAAACCTATCATTAATAGCAAAACTATTTTTTTCAATATGTTATGATTTACAATGAGAATGAGAAGATTGTGGAATGGATAGTTGAATGCAATACAAATAATATGACGGAAGTTTAAAGAATTATCTTCGACATTTAAAGATCTATTACTGACATTTAATTTGTATCTGAACCAAGGGGCCAAAACATAGCCTTAACAATCCACCTCTAATAGTGAGAGGAAAACATAAAAACAGCGAGTCTTTTCCGGTTGGGAACTCTGTTCTTTTGAAAGAAATATACCACTGTAAAAATTCCATGAGGTATACTTTCCGATATAATAAACTATCAGTGGGAAAAATAAATACAGTAGTATATTTCATGTACCGGAAATTCTACACGACGGAATGAAAGTACCCTTGCAAATACCCCCCCCCCCCTCCCCCTCTCTCTTTATGTTGTCATGCTATATTATTTATTAGTGTTATTTAAAATAGACGCGTGTAAGTATACTGTCAACATAAGTAACGCAATAAGTCCAATAATTAAATATCAATATGAACTATTCTGTAGTTACTTGTCAGCTAAAAAAAAATTCGATTGTAAGAACTGAAGGCGAATTTGTTTCAAAGAAATATTCAAGAATGGAAAGACAAGCTAAATGACTGAAGATGATATTTCATTATAAAATTAGTTTAAAGTTAAAATTAAGTTTCTTTTGATTATCTGCATTAATAAATAATGTAGATGCGGAAGTTATAGTTAACATTAAAATGAAAAATTAGCCACTTGACAACCAATCAATGTTCTACTTTAATTTTTGTCAGGACCCAAATATTATTCAAAAAATGTATTTCGAAACAAAAGACCAGTGAATTTTACAAATAAGTTTGTAAAAAGCATTGAGTGATACTATTTTTTCCGTAGTATATTTATCCTAAGGAGCCTAGAGTCTAATCAAAAACAGTTGTTCAATCGTAAATTATCATTGACATCAAGGGACCGATGTTCGTTTGAACACTGTAAGTTGAACACAGATTTCAATATATTGAACACATGTGGTAACATTTGTAACACTTATCTGTGCCTCAATATTTTTAATGTGTGCTTTTAAAATACTGAATATGAATAAGGACGATGGGGTACACGTAGATAAGACAGCAACCCAACGACACCACAGACATTTAAAGATCAACACTACATACTAAACACGTCAAACGGTCCATAATATTTGCAGATTTTTATATTTTTAATGTGGGATTATAATAACTAACTTTAAAAAAAAACAAGATTATATAAAAAACATCAGCAAACTAAATAGACGAAAACAAAGATGTTGAATTATGATTAATATCTAAATGCACTATAAATGCATTTTGGGGCCCTTTATAGCTTACTGTTCGGTGTGAGCCAAGGCTCCGTGTTCAAGACCGTACTGTGAACTATAATGGTTTACTTTTATAAATTTTGACTTGGATGGAGAGTTGTCTCATTGGCACTCATACCACATCTTCTTATATCTATATAATTAATGAAACTCCCAATTAAAATATAAGTTTGTTGAATTTGCAGTTTAGAACTTTCTGTTTTCTTTCTAATCAATACAAAGATCAACAAAAATATTGTATTTTCTAGAAACAAAGGAACCAACGAAAAAAGCAAGTAAGAAAAGAAGCAAGTTTCGATTAAAGAAGAAACATAGATCAACGTCATCGTCTTCCTCTTCGTCAAGTGAGTCTGAAGACGAAAAGAAAAAGATTCAAAGTGATATGAATCATGCAGATAAAGAGGTCCAAGTTAATGTTTTCAAAGTTGATCTCAAAACGAAAGCTGTTCCTAAACCAGATGGAAAACAAAGCAAGAAGAAGAAACATGCCAGAGAAGGACCATCCCCACCAACAACTCCAGAATCGCCATTCGATAAATTATCTCACATATTCCATAGAACTCATAAAGCAAAGATCACAGAACCAATAAAAGAGGATAAAAAGAAAGAAAAAGAGAAAAAAGAAAATAAAAAGTCCCCATCAAGATCTTCGTCTGATAACAGACATAGAAGCACATCACAAACGTCGACAGATGAGCAGACGACAAAATCCGATGACTACAACCAACCGGAAGACGAAGACGATAAACATCGTCATCATTTAGAGAATGAAGACAAAAGTCCTCTTAAAACACTACAAGAGTATTCAAAACTTCTGGATAAACAAGTTGCTAGAACGCGACCTGATATGTCACCAGACACAGACGAAAATACGACTAAAGAAAATAAACAACTGAAAGGAACAAGTGACGAAGAAAATTCAATAATGCAAGATAAGGAAACAGTCCCTATTTCATGCTCTGTTGAAGAACTAGTTGTTGAGGAAAAGATTGAACGAGTTGAGGCACCTCAAAAATCGTCATCAGAGTCAGTTTCTTCAGATAACGAAAATTTGAAAGAAGTTATAACAGCGAGTGCTGTTGAAAGAAAAGCGTCACTGTCTTCCTTGGAACGTGAAATTTTCCCTACAACTCCTCAAAGTGAGAATGGTGAATTAGAGGTTAGCATTAGAAAACCTTCGCCGTCTATTGACACAAAATATACAGATTGTTCATCTGAAATTATCAATCCGGATCTTCCTTCGCTGGATCTAGAAACAGACCAAACCATAGAAATGAAGAAACCATGGATATCTCCAGCAGACAAAGCAAAGTTAAAACGATCTGATAGTACGTCATCATCTTCTTCGTCTTCCTCTTCATCGTCTTCAAAGTCTTCCCAAAAATCTGTGAAAGAAAAAGTAACTGATGTGGAAATACACTATACAACGGAAACAAAGAAAACACCAGCCAATGTGGAGACGGAAAGAAAAACCATCCAAGAGGAATTTATCAAGCAAGAAGGACAACCCAGACTAAATGCTGTTTTAAATAAAAAGCTACCGAACGTATCAGAAACAGAAGACACACAGCCAGATATTGCTCCAAGAAGGGAATTATCAATTGACAACACAGAACGTCTAGAGGTGGAACATGCTCTCCAGACGTTAGACAACTCCATCATAGCAGCAGAGCAATCGCCTCCCAAATACCAAGGTCATTTTGTAGTAGTGGCTATTGACTTTGGGACAGCTTATAGCGGCTATGCTTTCAGCTTTACTCGTGATCCTGATAGTATCCATATGATGAGAAAATGGGAAGGAGGGGATCCTGGCATCATAAATCAGAAAACCCCCACCATTATGTTACTGACCCCTGACGGATCGTTCCATTCGTTTGGGTACAATGCCCGTGATAACTACCATGATCTGGACAAAGAAAGGGCTCAAGAATGGATGTACTTTGACAAGTTCAAAATGACCCTACATACAGCTACTGTAAGTACCACATTTTATTTTTTTGCTTTATTTACGAATTTTAGGCTTAGTGTCAAGAGCATAAGGAATATTTACCAAATTTATAGAAAAATATTTGGTAAACTTTTTCTAAATAAAAATATAACTATATAATTTAAAAAAAGACATGAGATATAATCTTCGATGTTCAATTTCAATTATAAATTTTGTTCAAATGACTGTTGGAATGACTTGATCAACGCCTTGCATATATTAACCTGTATGTTTATATAGTAAATTGTGAGTCGGACTTTTAATAGGTTATTATACGACATTATATCAGTTTATGTTGTTACATATGCATAACGAATTATTCAGGTGAACAGTACATACACCTGTTATAGTAGACCTTTGATCTTCTTTACGCATTACATACATTCTTAAATTCTTTCTTTATTGATAAACAGATAAATTAATTTATGTTTCCTCATAGCATTTGGCATTGTGTATCGTGATAGGAGGTAATACTATATACTAGATATTATTTTTAATGTTCAGATGCTTGAGGTTGGATAAACATACCATGTAAAGTTTTTGTTATATGTAATCGACATAGTTCAATTAGTGATATGAGATATAGGGCCAATTTACCCATAATTTGTTTCACCCTACGGTCCTTTTGCTAAAGTCTTAAAGTTGACTTTCAATTGTTACATAAGTTCACAGTATTTAAGCTTCATTTGTGTACTTTGAAGTTCTAATACTATTAAGTTATATTTCTATACTACAACAAGTTGAAAGGACGATGGCATATTTTAGTACTTATCAAAGAGCATTCTTATTCAAAACAAAATCTTCTATTGAACAAATCAAATGGTCAATAAAAAACTATATAAGTCGAATAAAAACAGAAAATTACATGGCAAAACATTTTAAAAGAGAACCGCAGTCCACTTAATACTACACAGAAAACTAAAGATTTAACAACAAAACACTACCAAAAAGTAAAATAACAGAGAAAAAAAAAACGAACTCCGAGGAAAATTCAAAACGGAAAGTCCGTTATCGAATGGCAAAATCAAAGCTCAAACACATCAAACGAATGGAAAACAACTGTCATATTCCTGACTTGATACAGGCACATCCTTGTGTAGAAAATGGTGGATTAAACATGGTTTAAAAGTAGATTGAACTCTTTTGCTCTGGAAGGATAATCAGTCCCTGCCTGCTCCACCAGTAGCACCCGCCGTGTTGTTCATGGCAAGAAAGCGATACGGTGGAAGTTCAGTTACAAATTATATATTTTTTGAAAGGGGTTTTTCAATTCAAAAGTTTTCACGTGTTAAATTTACAACTTTGTATCAAAATTGTATTGTACAGTTATGTGTAGCCTATTATGAAAATGTATAGAAATATAATAAAGAATAAAAATAAGAATATTTATTGTTCCAATTAAGGGCCCTTGATGGGCAGCATGACATTTATACACAAAACAATACATCATATATAGTGAAATGAATTAGATATTCCGATCCCAATATGTTTTAACAACTTTAAGATTTTGACTCTGTGAGTAAAACACATACTGAGTGAGTAAAACACATACTGAAGAAATTGTGTCGTATGAAAATATGTAGATGTGGTATGCAACTATCCAAATAAGTTTAAATACATTACAGATAATACGGATTTTATTTTTCTTTAAACGTCCACGGTGAACATTTCATTTCACCCATGCCTCCCCAATATTTCATCTCCTTTTGTCTTGTGAAATAACATATAGATGTTCGTTTGCTTGGCAGAATGTACTTTCAAGTCAAAACAAAAGAAACAGCGTGGCCACTTCATAGACAAGGTAGAATAGACAAGCTAGAAGTTTTGAACGCTGCCAAATCCGGCCATAACCGAGTTGAAAAAGCACAATTATCTTAAACTTGTTTTAGAAATTAACATTTTTGTCATAAGAAAATAAATACAATTTTCTATTAACACTTTTTTATAAATCCGTTTGAATGATTAATAAAACTTTGATTGATGATTCCCACCTACAAGATTTGAATCAACTGATAAATTAAAATCCACCTACTTGACGGTATAAGTAAGGAAAACATATTGGCATTTCATATGAAAATCCATTATTTATCAAGTTAATGGAAATAAAAGTTAAAACACCAGACAGAAAGTAAACCTCAAACGATTGAACAAGTAACGATAATGATATAGTGTCCCAAAGTCATTAATAAACTTCTACTTTCATTTTAAATACATAACTATTATACACGTGTTGCATGTGATGACAGAAAAGTATAACTTTATAACTCAGTTATAGTTTCTATTTATTTATAACCTTACAGAAATCTATTTTTCTTGATTTTCCAAAAAATAATGTATATATAGAAATAAAAAGATGTGGTATGACTGCCAATGAGACACCTCTACACCAGAGACCAAATGACGTAGAAGTTAACAACTATAGGTCACAGTACGGCCTTCAACAATGAGCAAAATACTTACTGCATAGCATTCTATGACCCTTTTCACATACTCTTCGTCAATCTTACACAGTTGTTCTGTAAAACTGTCCTATTTAGCATTTATATGATATATATTTACTATGATATGTACCATAATCTTGCAGGATTTGTCGACAGATACAATGTTAACAGCTGCCAATGGCCGTAACTACCCTGCCTTAAAGATATTTACATACGCAATGTCTTACCTTCGAGATCATGTGATCCGGGAATTGTCAGACCAATCTGGTGTTAAGATCCTAAATGAAGATATCCGATGGGTGGTATGTGTACCTGCCATATGGAAAGCACCAGCTAAACAGTTCATGAGACAGGCGGCGTACAAGGTGAGAAGAGTAATTATACATTGTATCTAAGTATTACATATACATATATACATATTTTAGTTGAGGTGGATCATCACTATATATTTTCTCAGATAGAATTTTCTTATACTTTGCCAGTATGGAGATTTTGCCATGCTTTTCAAAATAATATAATCAAAAGAGTATTGGTCACATGCTATTTTTCAAGCTGAAAGTCGTCCAAAATTGCTTATTTTTGCATAGATTATTCATAAAAACACTTTTTTTGTGAATAAAAAGAAATCTATGAGATAGAATTTTGAAATAAAATATGAGAAGATAGGTTTTATGATATGATTTAAGATAATAAAAAGAAAAAATGGTGTCACCGAACTTGTTTTCTTGCTACAAGTAAAAAATGAAAATTTCACTATAAAAGTTATCACCCCGTATAGCTAATAAATATAAGTTGAAAAATTGAATTGAACAAAACAAATATTTAGTATTTGTTTTAACAGTCTAAATAATGCAATAAATCACTTATTTTTTTTTATTAAAACAAACAATTTTACATATTAATTGCCAATCTGTCTAAATATTTGCAGATTTAAGCAAAGAACGAGACGTATTGTGTACTGATATTTTACAATCCAAGATGGCGGTATACAGTTAAACTACCTTAAGCTATAATGAGAAACATTAATAAAGTTGCTTTTTTTCCCAATTATTTTAATTGAAATGCTGTTTAACTTACACCATGGCGATGATTGATTCCGTCTTCCTACTGTACACGATGCTACTTCATAAATCTATTCCGAAGAACAACCACAAATATTAGAGTGTTGGACAGCTTGATCTTAGATTTAAACAGGTTTTTGGGCTTTGGAGCTTGCTGTAATTGATTCGAGCATTATTTATTAGTTATAGTCTTTCACATTGTCTTTCCCCATTACTAGAGCGGCTGTATGTAATGATCGTTGTGTCCGGTTTTTTTTTCAACCGACCACTTATTGTAACCACAACTTGTCTATTTCAATGAAACGTTTCCAGTATCTTAAGTAACTAATGATAATGTGCAACTCGTGATTTACTGTTAAATCAAAATGTTTTTGTGGGTCTTTGTCATAATTATAAAGAATAACAGGAGGATGAGTAGACAGCTTGAATTTGCAACTCCTGCTAAACCAGGGCATACTGGATTTCAATGAAACTTTCACAGAATAAAGTATCTATTATCATTGTGCACTCTTATTAATTTTGTTATCCAAGTGGTTTTTGGTGTATAACTATCATGTCTATACATTTTGTTAATATTGAAGGCTAGTATTGCATCTGAAGAATTCCCAGATCAACTTCTAATTGCATTGGAACCTGAGGCAGCGTCTATTTACTGTCGGAAGTTACGTATGCACCAGTTAGTTCCAGAATCTCCTCGTCAGGTGCAGTCTCCAACTAGAAACGAACCAGTCAACTTAGATAATGCATTCGAAGTTTCTAATCAAGGTAAACTATGTCATGTTAAAAGGAAAAGATTGAGACAAATAAACCGTTCTTATCATCCCTTTTTTATATTGATTTCAAAACATTGACCGGGAAGAAAACGTGCCAACTGTTTTATGTTCGGACTAATTTTAAAGAGCCCTTTTACCATTAGCCTATTTGATATATTGGATATTGTGTATTGGAATTGTAAACACCACATATTCTTGTTATTTTTTCAGTGAACGAATATTCCATGGAAATGATATTAAGAGGTATAAATAATCACCTTCATATTCAATTTCTTATCATTCCTAATTCTGTTATCCTAATGCATTATTTTCAACCTGACCATACCAATAGTTTACTCATGTCCTTTTATATATTTCCCTGTCTTTTGAACTTATTTTTCAACTGAATGTCTTATTATATCTTTCTTTTACCAAATTCTTATTGTCATACTCTATTACTATATATCGGTATCTGTATGATGTGAAATACAATCATTTGGTAATCCAGTAAACGATGCTCTAGTGTTATTTTATTTGCAGTTTGTCTCATGTTATGTTTATTTGCTTTATCGTCCTGGATGCGAATGAAATGTTTGCCACTGTACTTTAACCAAATAACAATTACCAATCAATTAATCAATCATTTATAAGTCCGGTACTTTATAATTTGATCAAAGTGAAATTTGTCGCAACAGAAGCATTGTTAGACATGTTATCCTAAATATTAATGAAAATACCTTGTTTTTTTAGTATTAGTAAACAAATTAGTAGTTGTGTTTTCTGGGTCTCTGCCGACCCTATATTGTCATATAAAAATTAGATGATGTGGTATGATTGCCAATGAGACGTATCTCCAACAGAGACCAAATGACATAGAGGTCACCGTACGGCCTTCAACAATGAGCAAAACCCATACCGCATAGTCATCTATAAAAGACCCCGAAATGACAAATGTAAAACAATTCAAACAAAAAAACTAACGGCCTGATTTATGTATAAAACAATGAACGAAAAACAAATATGATATACAGCAACAAACGACAACCACTGAATTATAGGCGCCTGACTTAGTACAGTCACATACAGAGTGCGGCGGGGTTAAACTAGCTTGCTGGCGCCAAGCCCTTCCGCTAGCCTGGGACAGTGGTGTAACAGTACAACATAAGAACAAACTATAAAAATCAGTTGAAAAGCCTACCCTAACACATTTCATGGACATTTTTGGTTAAGCACCGTTAATATCCAGAACATTTCCCAATAATGTGTATGTAAAATATTTAAAATAATACAATCTTTTTACAGTTTCACCTACCCTATTGTTCTATGTTAGGAGGCAGGAAATAAATATATATTTATTTTTGACCACTATCATTTAACAAACTGGTCAAACGATTAGAGGCGTATAGAATGGACATTTTGAGTTACCTTATTTCTAGTGATGAATAGAATCACCAGTTGCAGTGTTTAATGCGACATACAAGTGCAAAAAGTAAGACTGATCATAAATTTCAGGCTTAAGTGTCAAAACAAACATAATAGTACTGCGAGTACTCCCAGATCTGTACTTAGTGTCCTTTTTGTTGTTAGGGATGAGGGATGGATAAATACCCTGCCACGTCCGGTCTGTGTTTATGTTTGATGTTTTCTGTTTTGTATCGATCTGATGAGTTAAGCATTTTTCAACTGATTTTTATAGTTTGTTCTTATGTTGTGCTGTTACACCACTGTCCCAGGTAAAGGGGGGGGGGGGTGGGGTTGGGGGGGGGGTGTAGATGAGCGCTCACAAAGTCAGGAGCCTGTAGTTCAGTGGTTGCCGTTGCTTCATTTCTGTCATATTTGTTTTTCGTTAATTGTTTTGTTATAAATAAGGCCGTTAGATTTCTCAATTGAATTGTTTCATATTTTTCATGTCGGGCCCTTTTATAGCCGACTATACGGTATGGGTTTTCCTCATTGTTGAAGACCGTATGGTTGCCTATAAATGCTTACATCCACTTTATTTGAACTTTGATGGATAGTTGTCTCATTGGCAATCATACCTCATCTCCTTATTTTTATAATAATTGAGTAAATGAAATAGAAACTAATTGTCCTTATAAATATGTGTTGATAAATGATATCAATTTCAAGAAACGTATTTAACTATAATATTTTAGTCTTTTAACAAACAATTTTGTATACAGGTACCCGTTACATGGTAGTAGATTGCGGTGGTGGAACTGTTGACATAACAGTACATGAGTTGGACAGTACTGGAAAATTAGCAGAACTCCATAAAGCAAGCGGCGGTCCATATGGATCCATCGGTATGAATCATAATTCAGTTCTATTAAACAAATGACTGCGAGTTGTTCTCTCTTACACTTACGTAAGGGTACATGTAATTAAAAAAAATAGTACATTGTGAAAAATGAAATATACAAACCCGACAATGAAATTAGTAAAAGTGAAAGTATTTGCGAAGATAGTTTAAAAATTATCAGCTCAGGGACCTACACTGAGTCGATACAGTGCAACACAAGTTTGATTTAAAAGAAATATGTATTGTTTAAACTCTATTCTTCTTCTTTATCTTATTTCTTCACATTTATTTCTCTTTTCAGGTGTTGACGTTGAGTTTGAAAAGTTATTAATGTCAATTTTCGGGAAGACATTGATCGAGCAATACAAAGTCAAAAGATCTGCAGGTTGGGTTGATATGCTGATAGCTTTCGAGTCGAGAAAAAGATCTGCATCACCGTATAAAACATCGCCTCTAAATGTAGCATTGCCTTTCTCATTCATTGACTACTACCGAAAACATAAGGTTTGTTTTTGTCTCAAGGAAATGTAATAAACGGAGATCATTCATTTTAAGTATTAATGTCAAAAATGATTAAACATTTAACACCTATGTCACAGATCGACAATTAACATGAAGTCCTTGATGCTTTCCCGAAACGACACTTATCCTTGAAATCGAATAAATAGTTTAATTTTCTTTGTGTATAATGTATACAGTTTCCTTTTGATATCTATTTTTAAGGTCTTTCCACTCCGTTAGGAAAGACCTTATTGTTTTTCTAATGTTTTTTTTTTTTCTTTTTTTTTTTTTTTTCTTTTTCTTTTTTTTTTTTTTTTTTTTTTTTCTTTTTTTTCTTCCAACATTTTTTTGGGAATGCCCTCCCCCCGTTTCTGTTCAAGTTATCAAGACCAAATATGGACCATCGATAGACATCATCATGAAGTATTACCACATGACCCTGTTAAGGATTTCATCATCCCCTGTAGAAGTTATCCCCCTTTTATTGGATTTTTTCAACATGGCCCCCCTTCGTTGTTTTTGAAGATATCATGACCTTATTTTGACAATAGGTTGATCTCATCATGATGTACTACCATATGTGACTGCATAGGATTTCATCATCCCCTATGCGAGTTATATCCCCTTGAAGCGATTTCTTCCCTTTGCATTTTTCTCAAAAAGTATTAGAGATAGAATCGATTTGAAAACGGCAACATATACAGGAACTGATGGCAATGTTAATGAACATATAAAATAATTTTGTTATTGACCCTTATAAGGAGTTATTTCTCTTAAAAAAATATACACAATTTTTGAAAAATTGTATTTCGAGAACCCTAAGTCGTAGAGACTTGGGACCTACACCAATAATCTTAAGTTCATGTGACCTTCAATTTGCACCCAAGGTCAAAGGTCACAGAGTGCAAAAAAACTTTACGCTGCAATTTCAAGCTTGCATATTAAGAAAACCATAAGAGTTTGCTGCATACATACTGTGTATAAAATGTTCCTCTCGACGAGCTCTACATTTTATACATTAAGCTCAAAAATGTCCGACTGTCTGTTCAAAAGTTACATTAACATAATTCTTAAAACTATAGTAACATATGTATATCTTTTAAAAGGTAACAGATATCAACCTACTATAAACTGCAAAGATGATCAGTAATTCAAGGCCTTCAATTTGAGGTCAATGTCAGGTCATGATGAAATTTAACCTTGACCTTCAGAGTGTACTATGACCTTGACCTTGTGACATTTGAAAGGTCAAGTGGTCTTGAGTTGAATGGTGGTAGTCCCATGTCTCTACGACTTACGGTTCTCAAGTTTGATATTCATCATATATTTGATAATTCATTGTGACCTTGATGAACTTTGGAAATGTCCAATTTTTTTTCTAAAATGTTGTCCTTTTACTGTAGATCATTTTTCTTTTAACAAATTTGAGATAACTGTTGTCGTTTAAGAGATAATGCACTTTGAAATTTTGCGAGCGGAGGCATGTATTTCTGAATCAACAACAGGTAACCACCTGAAATTATAAGAAATTGAAGAGTTTAACATGGTTATATGTTTGACCAAATACCAAAAACATTCAATGAAAAAAAAAACCAAAAAATCAATTTGAAATTTTCATGTTTTGCATTGACTTTGTAAGTTTCATAAGTTCTATTTATATAATTGATATTGCATCATTTATGGCACTTTGCCAAATGGGGTCATTTGATATATCAAATTGAAGGTCTTAACGAGCTCTACTCAAAAATGAAAATGTAAAACCCCCTTTTCATCCCAGGGGGAAGGGTGGGGTCATTTAGTGCAAAAAATTAAAACTTCTCAGATGGTTTGGTTGTCGCATATCAAATGAAAGTCCATAAAGCGTACATTTCAAATATCAAATTGACGTCCCCAAAAAATGGGTTGGTTGGGGTCATTGAGTGCAAAAAAAATAAATTTTCTTTTAAGATAAGGTTGTTGTATATCAAATGAAAGGTCTTACCGTGTACATTTCAAATATCAGATTCCCGTCCTCAAAACATTAGTTGGATGGGGTTATTAAGTGCAAAAATCAAACTTTCTAGAACATGGCGTTGTCGCATATCAAATGAAAGATAATCAAGTCTAGATTACATATATCATACTTCCGATATCAAAAATGTAGGCGGATGGGGTCATTAAGTGTAAAAAGTGAAAATTTTCAGAAAGTATGCTTGTCGTATATCAAATGAAAGCTCTTAAAGAGTACATTACAAAAACATCACTTTTGCAGGAAAGACCTTTCAATTGTTTTACAAACAATTGAGATACTAGTTTTTTAATTGAAATTCTGATGTATTTTTTAGTTGACAGGTATAGATACAGCTATAAAACGACATGGAGACAGAGATGTCACATGGTCCTCACAAGGAATGCTGCGACTGGCACCTGAGGCAATGAACATATTATTTAAACCAACAATTCAAAAAATCAAAGAAAAGATTGGTTCTATATTGAATAATAATATCAAAGGTATTTCCTATAAAATTTTATTTCGGCATGTTATACTTTAGGATTATAAATCATGTTACTGTTTATGTTGTTTTTGTCTGCTGTTATTGTGAATATCGATGTTTTTGCCTGCATGAACTGTTGTTTATGACTTTAATTGTTAGTCCAACTTGCTGCAATGCGCATGTCATTGGTAACCAGTTCAAAATTGGTTGGTGTCCACGTTTCAGCCAGTTATAGTGTTTATGTACGCGTTCTATTATTCAGAAATACCTAAATTGATTGAAATAATGAATTGCGAAATGATTTCCGATTTCTGAATTCCAAAATATAAAGATCAATTCTCCCAAGCGTATTTTATACAGAACAAATAAAAAAAAAATACCGAAAGAGATTTGCTCTGAATTGAATCTGGTTTGTATCGCTTCCTTATCATGATTTTATTGGTTGTGATGAAATGCCATAATATCATTGTCATTTACAAATATAATTGCTTGTAACAGATGTTACATATAGTTTCCTCCTATCTAACAACCAGAGCCTTTCGTCCTTAAATTTAAAAATCTAAGGATATATACACTCAAATTGTAGCCACAAACAATGACTCTTGTATAAATGTATCAAAACGAAACAAAACGATGCAGTTAGCATTAATGCACGACTTGCATACAGTAACATATATCAATATTTATATTTTGAATAAAAATTAATTTTGGCAATGTTTTGTCACTTCACATACACAATAATTGATATAATGTGTAAACAATACCTAAATGACAAATGGCTGACAAGCTATTTATGAATGTTTTAGTGATTCATATTTTTGTAGCTTTTTATGACAATTCAGGTTATTCGATTTTTTTCCCGGTAATAATTACATTAATTAGTAAACACTTGTATACAATTGACACGAATCATTTAAATCATTTCATAAACAACCTTAAATGATTTAACTTGATAATGGCATAAATGTAAAATTTTACGCACCAGCAGATTTTAGTGTCCACTATAGCTTCATGAACAATGCACACCGACCTGAAACACTCTGTGTGTCCAATTACTTCAATCGAAAAACCAAATCAAACCAAAACCAAATCAAACCAACACCTCAATTAAATGCTTATGATAGCAAATAAAATGGATAGTACTTTTGAAATTAAGAAAATGCACATGAATCAATATCACTAATATCTTAAACATTTTTCATATTAGTAAATATGCACATAGCTCCTTTCTAAGTCTACTATTTAGGAAGGGAAAAGATTGTATATTTTTATTTAGATAAAAGTAAGGAGATTTGTTACTATGGCCAATGAGACGATGATCAAAGGACATAGATTTTAACAACTAAAGGTCAGCATTCGGTCTTTAACAATGAGCACATTGTATAGTAAGCTATAAAAGGCTCCGGGATGACAAAATGTTAAACAATCCAAAAGAGGAACGAACGGCCTGATTTAAAATACAATAAATGAAATAAACAACTAATGAAAGACATCAACAAACGACTGAGTTCATCCTACATATTATTGGTATTCGTGTTGCCTATTCCTTAGTTAACTGTGAAGTGTTTTGGGTATTACATATGTATGGTTTGTCTGTTAGTATTTTCCTTTTGTCTGTTTTCTTCGATGTATGATTTTTGATTGCTGCATGTTATTTTTAATCACTATTTATTTTATATTGCAAAGGATTTATTTTAAAATGATAAACATGTATTGAAAAAGAAGGATATTCCATTAAAGCCATTCAAATATAAAATCACACACTTATAACACTTTAAACAAGAAAGTATGACATACATTCCTTTAAAAAACTATACAACTTATTCATATTTTAGAAGAGTTCTTTACATATAGGAGGCCCTGCTTTTTAGAATAATATCTTTAAAAGGGGGAATAAAAACTGATAATTTTAGATTTCCCTGAATTGAAATTGGATGACTAATAAATTTCAGAAACCAATATTCACTAACGTCTACGACATTTTGTCTCTGGTGGAGAGTTGTCTCATTGGCAATCATACCACATCTTCTTAATGTTATAACTTCGGTGAATAGTTGCATTAAGTGTATGAAACAGAGTAACAATGAACAATTCACAATTTTGATTATGTTTACTTTAAGACCTGTGCAATATTAGTTTCTTGTAGTTTACTTCGAGACCTGAAATATTTGTTTCTTGTAGTTTACTTCGAGACCTGAAATATATGTTCCTTGTATGTTTACTTTTAGACCTGTGAAATATATGTTTCTTGTATGTTTACTTTTAGACCTGTGAAATATATGTTTCTTGTATGTTTACTTTTAGACCTGTGAAATATATGTTCCTTGTATGTTTACTTTTAGGCCTGTAAAATTTATGTTCCGGGTATGTTTACTTTTAGACCTGTGAAATATATGTTCCTTGTATGTTTACATTTAGACCTGTAAAATATATGTTCCGTGTATGTTTACTTTTAGACCTGTAAAATATATGTTCCTTGTATGTTTACTTTTAGACCTGAAATATATGTTCCTTGTTGGTGGATTTGCTGAGTCCGCCATTGTACAAAATGAAATAAGACAAGAATTCGGAAATTTAATTCAAGTTATAATACCACAAGGGGTTGCTATGACGATTCTTAAAGGTAAAGCATTATGAATACATTAACTTCTTCTTGTTGTCTCGGTCACATTTCACCATTTAAGACTAGTCAGCATGAATATTCAGTAAAGACAACAATAAATTTGAACACCAGAGAATAAGAACGTTGAAATATATCATCTCAGCGACGGACCGATGCGACATGAGAAAAAAAGACAACATGGTTACAATTTGCTATAATTGGCATGGTGCTAATATCTTGAAATGAAACATGACCACATATATACACAACACATCACGATTAATATAGATATATCGTTTATATCGTCAAATAAGACAGTAACTTGAGATAAAAGATGCAAATTTTAGACAGATATTCAAGAATTCAAAGAAAGATAACTGAACAACAGACGGTGAATTCGTTATGTTGTTATTGTGTTTAAAACCTGTATTTCCTTTAATGGGGAAATTTGATTCAATTTAGAATTGCTTTGATTTTACAGCTTCAATTTGAAAAGAATTTCATTAAGTACTATATGATTATTTATAGGTGCTGTGTTATTTGGCCTTGATCCAACAATTGTCAACGTAAGAAGATGTCCTCTTACCTATGGAGTTGGTGTCCTTAATAGATATAATCCGAAAAAACATCCACTGAAAAAGAAAGTTTCACGCCAAGAAATAGAATGGTGTACGGATATTTTTGATAAATATGTTGTTGTCGATCAGGCAGTTACAATTGGTGACGTCATTTTACGTAGTTATACTCCAGCCCGTCCTGACCAAAGACTTATTCAAATCAATATTTACTGCTGTGAAGACAAAGATCCAAAATTTATAACGGATCCAGGAGTACATAAAGTAGGAACAGTAACATTACATTTGTCAGGGACCAGTGAAGACAAAATGCCAAAGAGGCGAGAGATACAAACAAGGATGCAGTTTGGAGAAACTGAAATCAGAGTTAGTGCTCTTGATGTATCTACGGGTGAACATATCCAATCGACTGTTGATTTTCTCAGTCGATAAACGGTGATTTCGTTTTGTATTTTATGTAACAAATACTATAGTTGATATTAACTTTATGTCAGAACTTAGAAATATCTTTATATTTATATTTGTATTACGTATTTAACTTATTGTGCCATATCTAAAACCATTTTAACCAATATCTTTTTTGTCTCAAACATCTTGATAGATGCAGATTTTTATAATACGCTTTGTAGTAATGTACAAAAAGCTAAAGAAGTGAAGGTATTATTTCATTTCAGCTTTATTTGGGTGGAATACTGAAGAGAGAAAAAAAAAGTAACGGAAACAAATATATAAATCACTGTAACATGAAGTGATTTGTATTGCAAACTAGTGCAAACAGTTTAAATATCTATAAAACGAGTAAATAGTTCTTATTTTTAGATAATGCGTTCTGCTAAGGCTTTCAAACTTATATGAAATTCGACAGTATAAGCAATACTCTGAAATGTGATTGAGATATACATTACTTATTACTTTAAATGCACGTTTAAAGACACCAGCAGTACAACCGTTAAAAAATTCCTGAAATTCTTTGAAATAGCTATGTCTAATCACAAACAGTTCATATAGATCTTTTAAATACTGAAAAATGTTTTTCGATGATTTTTTTGCTGGAATAATTTTTCTTTGTTATATATCTCCAGTATAAATCAAAGAACTATTAATGGATGTGCATGAGAAAAAAATGAGATTACTAAGGAAGACGCTGAAGACGTTTAAAGATAAATTGAGTCCTATAAATATGTGTTCCGCTTGGCGTCACTTAGGGATCAATATTGTAATATTACGTCTGCGTTTTGTAATACTGTTCTTGAACTCGTCTTCTCCTTGATAACTCACTGGAAACTAGAATAGTGTCAAGTATTCACAGATTTGAAAAGGAAGATTGCACTATCTATAACTATATCCAACAGCTGTTTGTCTGAGAGAGAGAGAGAGAGAGAGAGAGAGAGAGAGAGAGAGAGATTCCATCCAATCACGTACAACACATGTCTTCCATGGAATATTATATATTATTTAATATTTTTTTGTAATATTTCTATCATGTAACAAAACATTTAACTATGTATTATGTTATTTATGATATAAAAGATATAATATTATTTTGTATTTCATATAGGGTGTACTTTAGGTAAGTAATCTAAATTGTTACCGACTTTAGAGTATGCATCTATACAAACCTATGTATTATAGTTACTTAAATAAAATAGCCAATCGTGTTATTTCGTTTACAACTTAATAAACTGAAGATAAATTAATAATTTCTTATAGCTACACCAAATCCAATGCATCAAATAAAATTGAGAATGGAAATGGGGAATATGTCAAAGAGACAACAACCCGACCAAAGAGCAGACAACAAAGAATATCCTAAAAATAAAATATCAATATAATAAATGGACAAGTTGGCAATGTAAACAATGAACAACATCAAAGGCCGAAATATCGAATGTCCTAGCCCATCAATTGATAAACGATGTTAGATTAGGCATTTGGAAGCGCATTCAAAAATAAGATATTCTATGAAAACAAGAGTGTAAAACCCTTTCAAGAAGCCCAATGTTGAGGATGCTGTATCTTTTCTAAACGACAAACTATGTTGTTGTTTCAGCAGACAAATCCTCAAAAACATGGTGTGTACATGCAAAAATCATTATTTTGATGGTATAAAAAAGAACTTGAAGTTCATTACAAATCTGATTTGGGAATCCAACTTATACACCTATATCATTCACAACAGAGATTTGAGACAAATCACAAATCTGTAATGCTTTCCTATAGTAGTATAAACATAAAAAAAACTGATGCGAATCTCCCTTGTTTATATGTTACGCCAACACTTCACAAAAATCCTGCTTAGTAACAATAAATTCTGTTTCGAATAGATGTTCCAGTAACGTCTTACTGATATTACTATCAATCTTTCTGCAGTAAACGATGATGTTTAAAGTATTATCATGAGCGTTGTCAATCAGATGTGGATATTGAAAAAATTCTAAACATCTGCTCTACAGTCATTCCGATTTTGAAACAATGGTTTTTTTCCACAATAAACACTTAAATTCCCCTTGCTCAACTTGTATAACAGAACTTTTCAACAAAATTTTATACGAAACAGAAATCATACAATATTGTAGAAAATGCATCTAGCTGAGTTGTTTTGTATCACTTAACATTGCCATATAAGTGGGAGGTTTTGGCTAGCCATAAAACCAGGTTCAACCCATAATTTTTTCTTAAAATGTCCTGTACCAAGTCAGGAATATGGCAGTTGTTATCAAATAGTCCCTTTCTATGTATGTTTGCGTTTGTTTTTGTTGCAGTTCAGTTCCGTTGTTTTCCTCTAATAGTTAATGTGTTTCACTCGGTTTTGGTTTGTGAATTGTTTTTGCTTAATCGATTTATGACTATTGAACAGCGGTATACTACTATTGCATTTATTTAAGGTATATTGGTCAATCATATTTCCCAATTACTTTAAGACTGCTACCAAGACTAGATGGTCTGTATCTGAATCTTTTCTCGAAATACTCACAAATTAATGAATTAAAACTTGGATCGATAACAAACGATACAATTTCAGTTCTCACATTTGTCAAATTCCGTTTTATTATTAGCTTATTTGGCGTTTACAACATGTATACAGGGGTGTGCTTACAAAAACTATTTCAACGGATATGAGGTAGAACGACTGTAAACAAATAAACTCATCATTGATACCAGGATTTAAATTTTGTATGCCAGACGTCAATATGCGTCTGTATACATCATCAGTGGCGCTCAAATTCAAATAGTTAAAAGGCAAAATGAAGTACGAAGAGGTTTGAGGAAGACCCAACATTCCGAAAGCTTTTGCCAAATACAGCTAAGGTAATCCATTCTTTGGGTAGAAAATCCTTAGTATTTCGAACACTTCAAAGCTTTGTAACAGTTAAAACTATACAAGTTTGATGGTGGTCATCACAGATTGGTTAAACGATTAGATATATGTTTGTGTCAACGCACAGATCTGTCATACACTTTTCCTGACATATCTCTCCGTTCCGAATTCATGAGCTTCTCTTATATTTATCATTGCTTTTAAAGCACTCCAGGCAGCACAAAATTCGTCGACTTTATCCAAATAATTAGTATTATCCGTCACAGTGTCATAAAACATGTTGTTATGTACATGGGTTATCATCCTTCCTTTCGTCTCTATCACTCAGTCATTCAGTTACTATCATATGACGGCTTTAGAAGTATGCAGAACTTATCAGCGACGTTACAATGAATGCGTAGAAGTTATCAGCGACTTTACATGACAGCAATATTTATCAAGCTTACTTTGGTTAGGACAACCAAGCGTAAAATAGTCCTAGGGAGAGCAGAAATGGTACGATACACATATTACAACTATCAGTTTTCTGTAAATATATATATATATATATCGGTCATACCACACAGCGTTAAGCTCGAGCTAAAAACTTTAAACAATAAGCTCACAAGAACTTCTCAAAAGTATCCAGAAATAAATCTTTTGAAGCAGATACTTTCTCTATCCAGTGTGAAGCAGATGTAACAGTGAACATTTCAACAGGACTACTTCCAATCGAAGCTCAACTGCATATCCGAGCATTACGCGAATTTAACAACAACATCGGCGACCAGTCTGAAGACAGCATAGAAAACAAGGCGCTAACTTCTTATAAGACGACGGCAGTTTTAGCTGGTACATTGCAATTAATCATATGCTATGCAAGTATGACATACAGGTGGCAAGCTGGTATTTGACCAACCTAGTTAAGAATACCATATGGCCCTCAAATAGCAAGAGGACAATATAGAGTTATTGGAATAGATCAATAGTGCAGCTACTGCCGTTATATAAAGGGATCAATTTCTTAAAACCCGAAAGCTTGAAAACGGCAAATATTCATGCTCTGTTGAAAATCAATTGCCACTGATATTGATACATCGAAATTGCCAATAAAATTAAAACTTCTCACAGGCTCGCATATCCTACAGGGCAAAAGGATTATAATAAACAAAGACAAGACCAACCCGAAATACCTATCATGAGCAAAGGAAGATAAAAATATAGAACACTTTATTCTAAAAAATGAAAACAACACGTTATAAGTTGTATGCGTCCGAAGCGCTTTTCTGGATTTACCTTCATCTAAATTGTGAAAGCCTGTGAAAAATTAGAAATACCATATTTTCTGAACTGATTACAACGCTCATCGCAATTGGATTTCAATTTGATGAAATGTCAACCAACGAAAAACTACAACACATTTTGAACATATCACTGATACTGAAAACAATGAAACTCCCTACAGTATGTGTAAAACAACGTATCGACGTCTGCTATATCATCTTCATATAGCCCGCTACAAAATGGTATGTGGACAGCAATGAATCTAGTGCGAATTGCCAATAAGATAAACCGCTATTTTAACATGATTAAAGAACATTTATTAGGAATGGCGTGGTTTGGAAAATGATGCATTTGAACAGTACAAGCAAATACATGTATTTTTGTTCAAGCATACTGTTTTTCTTAAAATGTTTAACATTTCACAGCGGTATACCATGTTACTTTAATTATTCTTCCCTTAGTTTATTTATTTATTTTGTATTTTGTATTTGCATTGTATCATAGATCAAATTTATTTGTTCAGTGTATGTTCACTGGTGTTAATATGTCTTTTGATTGAGTTAAGCAATTTGAATTGATATTTTATAGTGTGTCTTTTTATGTTGTGATGTTACACTATTGTTTCAGATAAGGGTGAAGGTTTGGTACCATTAAAACGTTTAAACCCGCTGCAATTGTGTGCACATGTCCTAAGTCAGGAATCTGATGTTCAGTAGTTGTCGTTTGTTGATGTGGTTCTTAAGTGTTTCTCGTTTCTCGTTTTTTATATAGATTAGACCGTTGGTTTTCCTGTTTGAATGGTTTTACACTAGTATTTTTTGGGGCCCTTTATAGCTTGCTGTTCGGTGTGAGCCAAGGTTCCGTGTTGAAGACCGTACTTTGACCTATATTGGTTTACTTTTATAAATTTTGACTTGGATGGAGAGTTGTCTAATTGGCACTCATACCACATCTTCTTATATCTATAAATACGAATACTTAAACTTTTCCTGAATATATATATATTCTTATCTTCCTTGCTCAATTTAGCTGAAATTTAGTGACCTGAATGATAGTTAATATATAATAAAGAATCTAAGAGAGCATCTGTTTTACATATGAGAATACGGTTCCTCTACGAAGGGGTTTAAATATAATAACTTATATAAGATAAGATTAGTTTGCTGCCTTTACTCGCCGTTCACATTGTCACTTATATTTATTATTTTTTACGATAACAATGTGCAGTAAACCCAATAATCTATTAATACATTTTGTGAAATGGCAATAATAATAATAAAGTTTAGAAAAGTAGACCTGGCCTTTCAGTCATAATACAAATTATTAACAAAAATACCGACCTTCAAGGTAAATTAAGAAAAGGAGTAAGTTCATTAAACCCGACGGAACGACTGGAAAACAACTGTCATATTTCTGACTTCGTACAGACATTTTTAATTAAAATGAACTTTACTTAGTACTCGGAGAATACAATTTGTGATCGAAACACCAAAGCCAATGAGACCGATATCGTATTCAATATATCTATGATTGACCAGGAATCTCTATCCATTTGCATATCCATTCTTTAATTTCGTGACAGGTCATTAGGCAATGCTATTGCAGTTTAGAACCAAATACTAGTAGTGTGTCATTGAATATGAAGTTTACATTGGACAGTCAAGGCGACTTTAACAACAAAGAAATCAATATGGGTTCATATTTATGATGTAAGTAATACATCACACTATAGTCCGTTTGACTTCTATAAATCTTCAGAATATTATTCTTAAAAATTTATTTTTACAAATAAACATTTTTTTTTTCTTGATGTATGTTAATGTATGATATATACGAACTCTGACTATGAATATCATAATTTTAGGCCAATAATCAAAAAAGTTACCCATTAGGTCTCTATGTTACTCCTATTTTTTTTTATATAAAAAACTTGATGGAGTAAGTAAGAATAGTGTAACAGCCTTCCATTCAAAACAAAAACATAAGACATGTGCTTTAAACCTGTTTCATTATACCATGTGACTTTTCTCATTTAAATAACGCTGACCAGCAAACAAACTTGGACTTCATTTAAGTTTT